TCGATGCGGGGTCCTGATTAGGAATTAACCAACCCTTTAAATCAGTTTATACAACTGTTGCAATTCTGATTATCATAACCATTAAAGAAGACTAATGTTAATGCTTGAATCATGTACTTCTAGATCTATTTGGCTCCTCTGCTGTTTATCCTGCAAATGTCTACCCACTTAAAACTCAACATATTTCAACAACTTTTCTAGTTGTAAGAAAGTTTTATAGGAAGATGTTTACAATCCAAAACATTTCACAAAGATTTTTGGATTCCTTTGTACAGTCAGATTTCTGCTGCGGTAAACTATACATCCAATCCAGCTTTTCTGGCATGCCTAACTTGTTGATAGGGGTAATTTTTGCCAGCAGGACAAAAGTAATGTATGTTGACGTGTGTCTGTCCCACACCCACATCAAACACTCAGAAAAAATATTGACCAAGACAAGTACACACTAATAGAATCCTACATCACCATCCAAATATTTATTTACAACTCAAGTTTATTTTGATAGGGACAATTTTTATATTTTGTAATTCTAAAGGAATTTCTATTTTCTATCACTAAATATCAAATTGCAAAGAAAATATTATTGTAAACAAGGACCATTGATTGTGACCTTGACATTTGACCTTTAAGCCACTTCAAAAAAAATGATCTGTTCTTCACTAGATCAAGATCTAAACATTTTATTTCAACTCATTAATGACCAGGTTTCTGAACATTGATAAGTGATCATGACAGTGAAAAGTAGAATTTTCCCCAACCAAAACTGCTTTAATATGTTTTTCAAATTGCTGTGTATGTACACGCATGTTATATTAACAACAAGCAGGAATCTGTGCGTTTATACACCAACCATTTGGGAAAGCACATAAACTGCTCCAATATCTATATAATTTTGCCACTTATTTCTTCCACCCACTCATCCCCGTGAAAGTTTCTCACAAAAAACTTCAATGATTGGTTGTAAAGTAGATGATTAACCAATGAATATGTCAAGTTTATTATTTTCCAGCCAATGGGAAACTTGAAAAGTAATGAGTAGGTAATTAGTTTAATTAGCAATGTCACTACAACATGATATACAGCCTGCAGACATCATTAAGTCTATATGTCATAACAGTCCTGCCGGTTACAGATAAGCCTTATAAATCAACAGTGTTTAGGCTGCCACAGGTACTTGTCATTTTTACTAAATGTTTTCTGAAAAGAAAAGTCCACTCTGATATAATATTTCTATTACTAATGGATATTTTCAAATATATTGCAGTTTTATGAAGTATATGTCTGTGTGTATATACACAGACAATAGATGATTTCAGGACAGCCCACATTGTCAGTCCCGTTCATGAGGGACTATATGACCAAGGACAAAATGTCTAACAGCGGGCTGTTTGATCAAGGACTTTATTCCTGTCCAGGTTTTCTATGCTAAACTTTTATTCCAGTTCATGTTTTCTATGAGGGGACTGTATGACCAGGACTTTAGTCCAGTTAAGTTTTCTATGAGGGAACTGTATGACCCAGGACTATAAGAATCTGAGACAGTCTACACTTTTAGTCCAGTTCAAGTTTTCTATGAGGGAGTTGTATGACACAGGACTATAAGAATCTGAGACAGTCTACACTTTTAGTCCAGTTCAAGTTTTCTATGAGGGAGTTGTATGACACAGGACTATAAGAATCTGAGACAGTCTACACTTTTAGTCCAGTTCAAGTTTTCTATGAGGGGGTTGTATAACAAAGACTATAAGAATCTGAGAGAGTGTCTACACCTTTATTCCTGTCCAGGTTTTCTATGAGGGGACGGTATGACCCATGACTTTATTCCAGCCCAGGTTTTCTATGAGAGGACTGTATAACCCAGGGCAATCAGAATCTGAGACAGTCTACACCTTTATTCCAGTCCAGGTTTTCTATGAGGGGACTGTATGACCCAGGACTTTAGTCCAGTTCAAGTTTTCTATGAGGGGGTTGTATGACCCAGTGCTATAAGAATCTGAGACAGTCTACACCTTTATTCCTGTCCAGGTTTTCTATGAGGGAGTTGTATGACACAGGACTATCAGAATCTGAGACAGTCTACACTTTTAGTCCAGTCCAGGTTTTCTATGAGGGGGTTGTATGACACAGGACTATAAGAATCTGAGACAGTCTACACTTTTAGTCCAGTTCAAGTTTTCTATGAGGGGGTTGTATAACAAGGACTATAAGAATCTGAGACAGTGTCTACACCTTTATTCCTGTCCAGGTTTTCTGTGAGGAGACGGTATGACCCATGACTTTATTCCAGTCCAGGTTTTCTATGAGGGTGTTGTATGACCCAGGACTATCAGAATCTGAGACAGTCTACACTTTTAGTCCAGTTCAAGTTTTCTATGAGGGGGTTGTATAACAAGGACTATAAGAATCTGAGACAGTGTCTACACCTTTATTCCTGTCCAGGTTTTCTGTGAGGAGACGGTATGACCCATGACTTTATTCCAGTCCAGGTTTTCTATGAGGGTGTTGTATGACCCAGGACTATCAGAATCTGAGACAGTCTACACTTTTAGTCCAGTTCAAGTTTTCTATGAGGGGGTTGTATAACAAGGACTATAAGAATCTGAGACAGTGTCTACACCTTTATTCCTGTCCAGGTTTTCTATGAGGGGACAGTATGACCCATGACTTTATTCCAGTCCAGGTTTTCTATGAGGGGGTTGTATGACACAGGACTATAAGAATTTGAGACAGTCTACATCTTTATTCCAGTCCAGGTTTTCTATGAGGGGGTTGTACGACCCAGGGCTATAAGAATCTGAGACAGTCTACACTTTTAGTCCAGTTCAATTTGTTTTATAAAGGAACTATATGACCCTGGACTTTATTCCAGTCCAGGTTTTCTATGAGGAAGGACATAAGAATCTGATACAGTCTACAAACACACTATCCCTCATACTTACACCTGTATTGTAAATTACAAGCTACATCAAGGTTATGGACATTGTTTATGTTAATGTTTTGGATGTAGAGCCAAGTGCAATACAACAGGCACAACAATCTTAGTGCTACCTCTGTGTCTGACCTTCGGGAATTCTCCCATACATAAAACCTGTATGAGGTTACAGACAGTTGAAAAAGCTCACTCAGACTTTACAACCTCAAATGAAGATACTGGGTAGCTAGCGTTATTTATTTGCTGTGTTGTTTATTGCTCCTGTTATTTTGTGACAGGGTGTCCTAGTAGTAACTTGTGGTTTTAAGATTTAAACTTCTATCAATTCAACATGCGAAGGGGAGAACAAGACAAGGCTTTAATAGAGTGCTTACTCAGGTACGTTGGCATGTCAAGGTGACATGAAGGAAAATTTGGTCTCAGCAATGAAAGGCAGCACATAACAAGGATGGCAGAGGAAAGATTAAAGTCTATACGATTAAATAATATATAGAATATAGATATGTCAGCATGAAAATTAAGGTTGAGGAAACCATTTTGGTGTGAAAAGTTTGTGGTCAAGTTGCCAAAGGGCTTTAATGGTCACCTTAGTCACAATGCTTCTTGTAACATGTCATAGAAATGATTTTGTGAAAAAAGTAAGATAATTTTAACTATATTGTACACATAATACAAATGTAAACTGTGCATAATATTAACTGCTGTTCCATGCTAAGGCCTCTGACTCTGAATTTCACTATATCAAATTCTCCATCCAGGAACAGTAGAACATCTTTGAAATTTCTGTCAATTTGATCCATTTTGGCCCCGCCTATCGGTCCCTGGGGGTCAGCCGTGGTCAGTATGAGCAACTCATCAAAATGTCAGCTCATACTGATAATGCTAATAAACTTTGAACTATTTCCAAAAAGAAAATAAACAAATTATGATCAAAAATGTAATTTTCATAAATAAACTATAGTAAACTTTGCCACCTCTTAAAGGGGAAATGAGAGACCCTCGGGTCATTAAATTTGCAATTTTAGTAAAGCACAATAAAACACTTCCATCCATGAAGAGTATTTGGTTCTACTTTAGGTATTGAAAAGAAATTGCTTTTTTTTTAATTTCAGTCAATTTTACTCATTTTTTACCCTGCTGAAGAGCACCTAGGGGTCAGCAGAGGTCAATATGTGCATCTCATCAAACTGTCATCTTATAATTCCAATAGAGAATAAATAAATAATTTCAAAAAATGTAATTTTCCTATATAAACAGTAGTAAACTTCAATGTGAGATCCTGTGGTCATAAAATTTATAATTTTGGTTACACATCTGAAGGCCTTTTAATTCATGAAGGGTATTTGATTCTTCCCTACCTGGGATTTAAGAAGATTTTTGAAGTTTCAATCAGTTTGATCCTTTTCGGCCCCTGCCCCTCAGGCGCCTGAGGGTCAGGGACCACATAATTTACAGTTTTGGTGAGCCTTACACCATGGAAAATTTTTGTGAAATTTCATTAAAATTGGTTCAGGAGTTTTCCAGAAGAAGTCAAAAATGACACAAGATGCACAACGCACAACGCCAGGCAAAAGGGGATTGCAATAGACTTTGTCTCAGGTGACCTAAAAATATATGCTTTTGACATTATACAATGAAAGCTGATGACAATTCTTTCGAGATGAATATCTAATTGATATCTTATTGAAAAATACAGCATGTAGAAATTGAAATGTATACTTTTTGTGATAAAAAAATATTTTGAAATGTTAAAGCTTATTAATGATCCTCACAGATAAAATTTACATATTTTTTAGAAACTTATAAAAGGATATTATTCTGTAACACTAACACTGCAGAAACTTATAATTTCAAACCAATTTGTCCCCTGCTTAAAAAATAATCAGCTGAATCTGAAATCATTGATAATGTCGAACACCTGAATTTTTCAGGTAGGAGGGGAGATAAATCTACCAGGTGACACAGTAAACCCAGTCAAACTGACAGCACACAACAAAAAGGGGCATAAACCACATCAGTGACATTCCAACATCACACCTGTAATTTATTTCTACTTAGCATCTGTTACCTGTGACTGTTCCACCTGTAAAAAAAGTTAACACAGGTAACAAATGTGTCTACGAGCCATTGGTAGGTCAGGGTCAAGGACAAGAAAAGCTAGAACTCAGTGAAACAGAAAACCGAACTTCTTTCTTAAGAAGGTAACAAGATTTGCATTTTTACTTTCCTCTTATATCTGTTCAATGTTCAGTGTACAAGTTTTCACTTACAAAATAACATTTTTCCTGGGACAAATGTTTAAAGAAAATTATTGCTTTGGGTGCGACCTTAAAAAAAAATACCCAAAAGCCCTCATTAATCAGAATACCTGCATATATGAAACTTTTCAAATGAATGTCTTTTTTAGAAAAAAATTTGCTATTTTAACAAATTTTATCAAACAGATCTACCACAATAGCATCATGGAGCAGTCGTAAGTTTAAATCTGATAATGGTTTTCGTAAATGAATCCTTTAAAATAAAGAGGTGTAAATACGTGTTGTGTTTACAACTAAAATGTAGCATGCATGTTCATTACGAACTGAGAAATTTCACCCTGCGGGTATACCATGTAGATCACATCAATTCAAATCTCAGTTAGACAGTCAGATCCCTAAGGGTTAAATTCCATAATCCTTTCCACACACAAAAGTTAGAGACTTCAATTTATAGCAAAAAAGTGACAAAAACCTGATCTGAACACCTGCCAGGCTGCAAGAAAAAAAAAAGGACATTGTTTGATTGGCGAGTCTTCAAAAGTAATTTACCTGGTAGGTCTATCGATGGTTCACTAGTGCCATCTGGTGTGCTCCCTTCTACGTCAGGCGTCGAGCCTGGCTCATCATTTAATATATCCTCATCGTCTGAAAATGCTGCAGATCGTTTCTTTACGCTTATATCACTATCTTCAAACTCAAAGTCTTTTTCCTGAAAAAAAAAATTTTAATGGGTTTTTTTTTTCAAAAATTTAGAAAGCACAAAGTCATATGTATATCTTGTTATCAGTCTACAGCAGACCACTTAAATATCATTTACTTGCAATTAAAAGTGTAGGTTGAGAGTGAAGACAACATGAATAGCTCCTTCTCAATTCATGATTTATTCATGCATCAAGTTGTTGACATGTTTCTGATCCGTCTTCACTCTCGACCTACATTCTACCCCTTTTTAGTGAGGGCTCGGTACACTTTTTGTATCCAAAGCAGTTCCTAGAATAATTTACCGAATATCGTTTATTGTGGGACGTTGTGCCTCCATCCCCCGGTGTTGAAGTCAAAAGGTGGACTTATCACTTGACAGTGAAAGAGTAATGCTAGCAAATTACTGAACAGCAATATGTAACGGTGGGCTTATTAGGGACAGCCAAATAACATTTAGCTTATTACTAGGAATGGGCTTATTACTGAACAATATAGTATTGTATATAGAAAGGGAATTCTAAAATCAACATGTAATTCTTCACTCTTGATGAAACATCCTTTAAATGTGATATTTAAGTGTGAATGATGTCCTTCTAACACAGTTGACCTTTTCTAATCAGGATGCAGTCAGGAATTTAAAGGTATGATTTGAATATTTATTTTTGAAATTCTGAATTTTGAATTTCTGGAACTTTTCCAACTGGGTCGGCTAGTACGTCAACTTCCAGTATAAAAATGTCTGGGTATATCATTTCCAATAATGTGTTAACTAAACCAAAACAAAGCAGTCTTTGAATCTTATCAGATTACACGTGACCTATGTTTAAAATATTTCAAAATAATAAGCTGATCAATCATTAGAGACTTTCAATCTTTGCAATATGATGAAAATGGTTTAAATGTAAGAATATCACAACAGGAAAATTTAAGAAGCCTGTTTCCAAGGCCCTTATAGTTTTTATACAATATGTATCTGGAATAATCAACAATAAAAAATCCCTGGACCCAGCTGTCAAAAGTATATATTTCATGAAGTTATATTATAACTTGTTCATAAAGATTGAAGTAAATGTCCCAGACATTTGGTACTGGATTTGGTCTCTTATATGAAGTAAATACCCTTTAAATTTGATAGATCCTTTTAATCCTTAATTACACAAGTAACTGTCCTGATGACATTTACTTCAGATTCGTATTAATTTGGAAAATTTAATGTTATAAAGTAAATGTCCTAACGATTTGATAGCTTGAACAGATGTAAATGTCCTATAGATTGGATAACTTTAAAAGAAGTAACTGTCCTGTATGTGTGGTAACTTGAACAAACATAAATGTCCCAAAGGTTTGATAGCTTCAACAGATGTGTATGTCCTTTATATTTGATAACTTGAACAAATGTAAATGTCCTAAAGATTTGATAGCTTGAACAGATGTAAATGTCCTACAGATTTGATAGCTTGAACAGATGCAAATACAAGTATATTTGATAACTTGAACAAATGTAAATGTCCTAAAGACTTGATAGCTTGAACAGATGTAAATACAAGTATATTTGATAACTTGAACAAATGTAAATGTCCTATAGATTGGTCTTTTCAGAGCAGTCCAGTGTCATCCTTTAGTAACACCGCTTTTACTCTTCTATCTGGGCCAACAATGGTGATTAGTGTATGCTGAAATAACTTATTTTGCAATAATTGTACAGTAAATAAAATATATAGATACATATTGGAAATTTTGCCTCTTTGTTCACATTGGTTTGGTACATGTGATGTATTCATTACTTGATAAGCCCATCCACTGATGCTCAACAGAATCAACGACAAATTGCTATTCCAATCACCTGCAATTCCTTATTCCCCTTTTGATTTTTAATCTATAATTTAAATTGGCTCAAATGGCTTATTGAAAGATAAATAAGTTGTGAATTTTATGTTACCAGATTAAGAAATTGTAAATGTAATATATCAACTTATTTAATCTAAACAGCTATGAAAAAACAACCCGGTTACGGCCCAGAAAGAAGCATGCATACTGTGGGAGGAAACCAGAGTACCTTGGGAGATCCAACTTGGTCAGATTGGAAACCCATACGTTTTCAGTCTGTTCGGCAATAAAACCCCATATATCTTTGGGTGAAAGGTAAGTTTGTTACCACTTACATAGCTAAATAACAGATATTTTAGATATTGTAACACAATTATTGGAGGAAGACAATGTTTGCCTGTCCAGGCTTCAAACTCACAATCTACAGCACCAAATAGCCCAGCCAAGAAATTCCAGACTGCTTGACCTTTAAACAATCACAACATCCCCAAAAAAGGATGTTTGGAAGTTGTACTGTACACAGCTGGAATTTCATTGCGTTCAACGTTGTAGATCCAAAGCTTCCACATCTGAATTTCCTATTGTAATTGTACCCGATTTTGATGCATAACATATAGATAAATATATATTTAGGTCACTATAAAATGTAAATTCAAGAATATTTGTCTAATTAGATTTTAAATAAAATATCTGATTTGATATATATATGAAAAAATTCAAATATTTTTTGTTTTTTATCAAGAATAAAGCTAGAAATGTGTAGATGATGTTTCCACTAGCAATAAACTTCAACCTATGGACCTGATTTGAATATTTATTACAATACTTTATCCTGGGACACAGAACATGACTCAGTTGTTACAGTCAACAGGTGATTCTGACTCTGATAACCAATTAATCTAAAGAATCTTAAATACAGAAAATCACAGATATACAAAGCAAAGCTACAAATTTATAACATAAATTCCCGTCACAGTATAGCTGATATTTCCCCGATTCTGTTCATAACTACAATTTGCCTTTGGAGATATCCAGTCAAGTGGAAAATCACCATCATCTACCGTGAAATATCTATGAGAAAATCCATGTCGAGCGAAGCATTCATAAAACTTACACAAAAGTCAACCAGAAATTGTGGATATGATGATCAGTGTAGTGTATTATAACTTGTGTTCTATATGCTAAGTCATTCACATGTACGATATACACTGCATGTATACATGGAACATATGTGAGGATTTTTATCGTATTCATAATCAGGTTGAAAACTCGAGACCACACAAGACACATATTTAAATTTCTTTTAAGGAAATTGTTATATTTTCGTCTAGAACATCTGTGAAGTCTACTTCTATATATATAAGAATTCCTAGTGATATATTAATTTCTATGGAGAAATTGACGTAGGTTTAACCCTAATGTTTATGAGAGGTGCCATTGATGAAGCAGAAGACACTTACCCTTCAAGAACATCTGGTCTTATTATCTTTGTACTTTTTTCTCCACATGCTCTTTCTTTTTTTCATATTTAGTCATGACTAGATCTAGACTAATGCAGTCCAACATCTTTGTTTCTCATTTTGACAGACCTTAGGACAAGACTTTACATGAATCTTATATCTTGTGAATTACTAGAGGACTACAACAGACTTAATTGAAAGATTTGAATTTTCAATGTACATATGTGTTATCATCTCTAAATTATTTAATAATGTTCAAAATTCTGAAGTCTTATAAAATTAGATTGTATCAGGACTTTTATCAATTTTATTTCTAAATACATTTTGATTTCCCTTTTTGTCAAAATTCTAGATTCTATGTTTCTTACAAACAAAGTATTATTAAGCCTGACTCAATGTCGAGAGAGCTTATTGCAGGATAATAAGCTCATTGGATAAACATACAAAAGTCAAAGTTGGAGAAAGCTTATTGCAGGACAATGAGCCCAGGGGACAAACATACAAAACTGACTCAAAGGAGGGGAGAGCTTATCGCAGGACAATGAGCCCAGGGGACAAACATACAAAACTGACTCAAAAGAGGGGAGAGCTTATCGCAGGACAATGAGCCCAGGGGACAAACATACAAAACTGACTCAAAGGAGGGGAGAGCTTATCGCAGGACTGTAAAGTAACATGTGTTTTTAATTCTTATGAACAGTAATAGTCAGACTTCATTGATAAGATTGGACTTATTGTCATAAAAAGTACTATATACAAAACTTTCAATACTCAATAAGCCCATCGTTAAAAAGCAAGTAGTCTGTTCCTGGAAATGTTTAGGATGGATTAAATTAAGCTAAGTGCATGACCTAATTATATGACAATAACTTGTTTGTTGGGTTTATCACCCCATAAACAGCCACAGACTTTTTGAGGTGAAGTGTCTTTGTAGTAGCTAATGATGAGGATATCTCATTGAATGACACATTGCATGCCATTCAGAGCAATCTAAATCAAGTGTCTTGCTCAGGAAAATGACCACATCAGCACACACTGGTCTATTTCTCAGCTTCCTGAGAAACAAATAGTCACAGGTAGTTATTGTCAAACAACACTTGTCCCGCACTGGTCTTCACCTGTGGTTACTTAGGTCAATGTTCTTACCAACTAACCTATATCAGCCGAGACAATGAAAAAAATTTATTCAGCAAAAATAAATTACTATGGGCAGCCTTATAACACATGTAAGGGTTTACCTCAGGATAAATATGGTAAGCGTTGTGACGACTTATAATGGGTCCACCTTCGGAAAGCAGGTGACCAACAAGCACTTCGCCCATATACACACATCAATCACCCATATATGGGTCATATAAAATCTAATACAAGTTCTTTTTTAACTTTTCCATCTTCAAAAAAAGGTTGATAACCCTTTAGTAAGAATGTCATTTATCATATAAGTACCTCCATTTTTATTTCTATATAATTTATCGATTCAGTATCGTGTTTCACTTATACATACTGACATATCTTATCTCCAGACAACAAAAGGAAGAGAGTTTTAAATTCAAGGGATCAGATTTTTAAAGCGCAGTTAGCTTTATCCACAGATTTGGGATTTTTGTTCTCCTTTCTTTCAAACTTGACATATATATCTCATCATTTTCACCTACTAGTGATATGATATAATCATATTTTCTTCACTTCTGTTTCTCATTTCCACCCCCCACCCCCATTT